GTTGTTTATACTAGCCACTAATGATCCTTTGAATTTCTGCAGTATCAGTTGTAATTCCTCTTTTTTTCATCTTTAATTTTATTTATTTGGATCTTCTCTCTTTTTTTCTTAATCTGCCTAAACGTTTGTTTGTGTAACTTTTCAGAAAACCAACTTTTTGTTTCATTGATATTTTACTGTTTTCTTCATTCAGTTGCAATTGTTTCTGCTCTTATATTTATTATTTCTTTCCTCCTACCATTTTGAGCTTAGTTTTCTCTTGCTTTTCTATTTCTTTAAGATGCATTGTTAGGTTGCTTATTTAGAGTTTTTTGTCTTTTTCAATGTAGGCACTTATAGCTGCAAACTTCTCTCTTAGTACTGCTTTGTTGTATGTAATAGGTTTTGGCATGTTGTGTTTCCATTATCATTTGTTTCAAGAATTTTTTCAGTTTTCTTCATAATTTCTTCAGTGATCCAGTGGTCATTCAGGAACATATTGTTTATCTTCTATGTATTTATGTTTTCACAATTCCTCCTGTTATTGATTTCTAGTTTTATTCTATTTTGGTCAGAGAAGACACCTGACAATATTTCAGTTTTTTAAATGCTTTAAGACTTGTTCTTTGAAAATGATCCATGTGCTGAGGAAAACAATGTGTCTTCTGCAGCTATTGGATAAGATGTTCTTTACATATCTGTTAGGTCCATTTAATCAATAGTACAGATTAAGCCTGATGTTTCTTTGTGGATTTTCTGTCTGGAAGATCTGGTCAACCTGAAAATGGGATGTTGATGTCTCCAGCTATTATTATATTGGGGTCTCTATCTCTCTTTAGCTCTAATAATATTTCCTTTTCATATCTGGGTGCCCCAGTGTTGGGTGCATATTATTTACAATTGCTATATCTTCTTGCTGAATTGACACTTTTGTCATTGTGTAATGACTTTCTTTGTCTCTTCGTCTAGTTTTTGTCTTGAAACCTGTTTTGTCTGATGTAAGTATTGCTACTCCTGCTATTTTTTTTGATTTCCATTGACATGGAATATCTTTTTCTATCTCTTTATTTTCAGTATATGTGTATCTTTATAAGTGAAGTGTGTTTCTTGTAGGCAAGAGGTCAGTGGGTCCTGGATCTTCATTTATTCAGCTACTCTATGTCTTTTGATTAGAGTGTTTAGTCCATTTACATTCAGTGTTATTATTGATAAGTAAGGACTTACTCCTTCCATTTTATTATTTGTTTCCTGGTTGTTTTTGTTACTTCCTTCTTTCCTATCTTCCTGTCTTTCTTTTGGTGAAGGTGATTTTCTCCAGTGGTATGATTTGATTTCTTGCTCTTTATTTTTTTGTGTTCATTGTATGTGTTTTGATGTTTGGTTATCAGATATTCTAAGTGCTATTTTGTAACTCATTATGGTAAGCTGATAACAACTTAGCACTGTTTGCATAAAAAACAAACAAGCAAAAGAAGACTAATAAAAATTCTAGATCTTTAACTTCTTTCCCTGCTTTTAAACTTTCTGTGGTCTCTCTTTATTTATTATACTGAATATGTCTGAGTATTTATTATACTGAATATACTGAGTATTTATTATACTGAATATGTCTTGAAATTTGAGTTATTATTTTTTATTTGTTCATCTTTTAGTCTTCCTGCTTATTATAAGAATAGCTTATAGCCACATACCTACTGATATAGTTTGAATATATGTCCCCACTCAAATCTCATGTTAAATTTTAATATCCAATGTTGGAGTTGGGGTATGGTAGCAGGTGTTTGGGTCATGGGATTTAATTCCTCATGGCTTGGTGCTGCTTTTGCAATACTGAGTGAGTTTTCATGAGCTCTCGTTGTTTGTGTCTAGCGTCTACCCCCTAACCCCTGCCCCCACACTTTTGCTCTCTTGTTCCTGCTTTCACCATGTGAAATACCTGTTCCCACTTTGCCTTCTGCCATGAGTAAAAGCTCCTTGGGGCCTTCCCAGAAGCCAAGCAGATGCCAGTGCCATGCTTCCCATACAGCCTCCAGGACCATGAGCCGATTAAACCTCTTTTTATAAATTGCCCAGTCTCAAGTTGTTGTTGTTGTTGTTTTTTTAAATAACAATGCAACAGTGGCCTAATATACCTACCTAGTTATCTATTGAAATTAAGCAAACGTAGCAGAATGCTAGCAATTGGTGAATCTAGGTAGATGATAGATATATTGATATTCCTTTTGCTAGTCTTTCAACTATTCTGTGAGTTTAAAATTTTCAAAACAAAAAGTTTGGAAGAAAAAAGTCCCATGTCATTTTGATTCTTATTTTCTTTTTAGTGTAATACCCCTCCTCTTCCTTTATGGAAGTTTTTGGAATCTTCCCTCTTTTAAAAAAGATGTTCTGATATTTCAGTGCTGTCCCTTGGTATAGGGCCTTTTATCCTTCATTATGTTGGACCCTTTTTGAGCACTGTTAATCTGTAGATTCATGTTAGACTCATGTCATTCAAATCTGGGTAATTCTCTTATTGTATTTATTTATAATTTTGTCTCCTTCACTTTTTCTTCTATTTCAGAAGCTGTAATTAATTAATTGATTATTAGACCTCCTGGATGGATTCTATTTGACTAATATTCTTTTTTCTGTTTTTTCTCTGCTTATAATTATTATTCTACTTCTTGAGAATTTTCTTTTGCTTTATTTTCTCACTTTCTATTTAATATTTTAAAGTTATATTTATTATTTTAATTTTATATAATAAAATGAGTTATATTACATTGCATTAATTTCTAATTTCCAAGGTTTTTTTTTTAACTTTTTCCTGCTTTTAAAAATAACATTTAATGTCTATTTTATGGATGCAGTGCTTTCCTATATTTTGCCACTTTTTTTTCCCACTCCCTGAATTGTTTTCTTCTTTCTCTTTAGTTTCTTTTTCTTCTACATTAAGAGCTTTCCTTAGTGATCTGGTCATTATTGGTTAGGTGTCCATATGTATATTTGATGCATAAAATGCTGAGATTGGGAGCTTTCTGGGCATGCACATGGTATGCAACCTGGAGAAGTTCACTATTGAGTGTTTAGATGATTCACTGGGGACCCAAAATGTCACTCTTGGAGGCTTTTTTTTTTTTTTCAAGCTATTTTTTTCCAGAAAAGGCTATTTCAGTGTTTTGCCCTGGGATAGTAATCAAATTATAAGGCTTTCTCCCCATGGTGCAGAGGAGAGATGTGCATGGGTTTCTGACTGTTCCACATGCAGAATTTCAATAGATCATCTTATGTTCTGCTTTGCAATTCACCTTCACCTGTCATCTTGCTTGCTGTTGCTGATTTTGAAGACTCCCAGTTTAGCTTCTCCAGCCAATAAATACCCAGTGGCTTCTGGCTTATGAGGTAGTTTCTGGCTGATAATCTTCTGTCAGTATGGGGAGTAGTATCTGTGTATATGGTAATTAAATCTGATTATTTCATGTAAAAATATTTAATAAATCCCCCATTTTTCTTACCCCAAGACTCCATCCCTACTCTCTGCCAAAAAGACTTAACCTGCCTCCTAAACATAACAAGAAGGACAAATGAAAGAAATAAAGACAAAGAATAAGATACTGTAGACTATTGCTAGTCAGTGTGTTTCTTGTCTGGAAGCTTGTTAATAAATGCAGAATCTCAGATCCCACCTAGAACAACTGAATCAGAACCTTCACTTTAACAAGATTTGCTGGTGATCTTTGTGCACATTAAAGTTTGAGAAGTACTATTCTATAAATACATTAGAATAAAAAAATGGGATGCAACCATAAAAGAGAATGAGTTCATGTCCTTTGCAGGGATATGGACAAAGCTAGAAACCATCATTCTCAGCAAACTAATACAAGAACAGAAAACCAAACACCGTATGTTCTCACTCATAAGTGGGAGTTGAATAATGAGAACATGTCCTGGGTTTTGTGGACTGGTTTTGCTTTTCAGGCATCTTTTAATTATAATCTCCCTTTGTTCACACTTTAGGTCTTGAGCTTCTTCACTTTGTTAAATCAGTGACTATTCCTTCATCTACTTTCTGACTTCTAAAAAAATTTCTTGAATTCATTTATCAGCTGATGTCTCTTCTGTTCTAATTACCATTTTTGATTCCTTCAATTCTGATGAGGAAATAAGTATACTTAAAAATTCTCTATTCCCATTTTTTAAACAATTTTACTTTAAATTCTGGGATACATGTGCAGAACGTGGACGTTTGTTACATAGGTATACATGTGCCATGGTGGTTTGCTTCACTCTGTCAACCCATCATGTACGATCTCAGCTCACTGCAACCTCCACCTCCTGGGTTCAAGTGATTCCCCTGCCTCAGCTTCCCTAGTAGCTGGGACTACAGGTACGTGCCACCACACCCAGTTAATTTTTGTATTTTTAGTAGAGATAGGGTATCACCATGTTGGCCAGGATGGTCTCAATCTCTTGACCTCGTGATCCACCCACCTCGGCCTCCCAAAGTTGTGGGATTACAGGCGTGAGCCACTGCGCCTGGCTCCATCATCTAGGTTTTAAGCCCTGCATGCATTATGTATTTGTCCTAATGCTATCCCTCCCCCTGCCCCCCACCTCCCGTCAGGCCCCAGTGTGTGATGTTCCCCTCCCTGTGTCCATGTGTTCTCATTATTCAACTCCCACTTATGAGTGAGAACATACGGTGTTTAGTTTTCTGTTCTTGTATTAGTTTGCTGAGAATGATGGTTTCCAGCTTTGTCCATATCCCTGCAAAGGACATGAACTCATTCTTTTTTATGGCTGCATCTCCTTTTTTTATTCTAATGTATTTATAGAATAGTACTTCTCAAACTTATAATGTGCACAAAGATCACCAGCAAATCTTGTTAAAGTGAAGGTTCTGATTCAGTTGTTCTAGGTGGGATCTGAGATTCTGCATTTATTAACAAGCTTTCAGACAAGAAACACACTGACTAGCAATAGTCTACAGTGTCTTATTTTTTGTCTTTATTTCTTTCATTTGTCCTTCTTGTTATGTTTAGGAGACAGGTTAATTCTGGCTACTGTGGGATGTGCATGTGAGAGACTGAACTTGAAAGACCATAAAAAACAGACTCGTAACCAAAGGTACTTCTATTAGGAACTATGGCTTCCAGGATCTGCAATGTTCTCATATTGACCATTGTTTTTCAAATAAACTATCTATCTATGGAAGGAATTTTAAAATAAAGGTAAAATAGAGGAAGCAGACTGCTTCTGCAGGACCCGGGAGACCCCCCGCCAAAACTGTGAGTGCCCCAACCACAGAAGTGGGAAAGGGAGACCCTCCTCTTCTGAATACACACTCTCACTGGAATAGCTGAAGGTCTGTTTGTGGGAGAAGTTTCTGACTTTACCTGGAACTGAGTCAATTTAGAGAGCTGAGTGAAATACAGGGGTAGAGGGAGCAGCAGAAAGGCCCTGGGAGCTCGCTGGGTTCCCTAGCAGGCCATTCCTCCCTGGCACTACAGGGACCCAACGGGAGAGGAGCAGGGGTTAAAACTACACAAGGAGAAGCAAATCTCTAGCTGAACTTTGTAACAATTTGAACGGGGTGAGAAGGGGGCTGTTGGTGGCAGGGGGAAGGGGGACACAGTGGGAGTGAGACTGGCCTTTTGGTTTGCATGGGAGCTGGGTGAGGTCTGTGACTGCTGGTTTTCCCCCACTTCTGCAACAATCTGCATGACTCAGCAGAGGCAGCCATAATCCTCCTAGGTACACAAATCCAGTCACCTGGGAATCTCACCTCCATCACCCACAGCAGCCCCAGCAAGACACATGCAAGGAGAGTCTGGGCTCAAACCTGCCTAGCCCCGCCCCTACATGATGGTCCTTCTCTACCCACCCTGGTGGTAGAAGATAAAGGGGCGTATAATCTTGGGAGTTCTAGGGCCCCACACACTGCCAGTTCCTTCGCATTCTACCATAGCTAATGCTCTCTGGAATGCACCACCTCCCAGCAGGAGGCCAACCCGCACAAAAATAGAGCATTAAACTACCAAAGCTAAGAGCCCTCAGGGAGTCCATTTCACTCCCCTCCCCCACACCTCCCCCTACCCCCACCGGCCACCTCCACCAGAACAGGCACTGGTATCCACGGCTGAGAGACCCATAGATGGTTTGTGTTAAAGGACTCTGTGCAGACAATCCCCAGTACCAGCCAAGAGCTGGGTAGACTGGCTGAGTGACTAGATGCAGAGAGAGACAACAATCACTGCAGTTCAGGTCAAAGGAAGCCACATCCATAGGAAAAGGGGGAGAGTACAACATCAAGGGAACACCACATGGGACAAAAGAATCTGAACAACAGCCTTCAGCCCTAGACGTTCCCTCTGACAAAGCCTACCCAAATAAGAAGGAACTAGAAAACCAACCCTGATAATGTGACAAAACAACACTCCAACACCCCCAAAAATTCACACTAGTTCACCAGCAATGGATCCAAACCAAGAAGAAATCCCTGATTTACCTGAAAAAGAATTCAGGAGGTTAATTATTAAGCTAATCAGGGAGGGGTCAGAGAAAGGCAAAGCCCAGTGCAAGAAAATCCAAAAAATGATACAGGAAGTGAAGGCAGAAATATTCCAGGAAATAGATAGCTTAAAGAAAAATAAAAAATAAAAAATTCAGAAATTTTTGGATACACTTTTAGAAGTGTGAAATGCCATGGAAAGTCTCAGCAATAGAATTGAACAAGTGGAATAAAGAAATTCAGAGCTAGAGGGCGAGGTCTTTGAATTAACCCAATCCAACAAAGACAAAGGAAAAAGAGCAAGAAAATATAAACAGTCTGGGCACGGTGGCTCACGCCTCTAATCCCAGCACTTTGGGAGGCTGAGGCGGGTGAATTGTGAGGTCAGAAGATTGAGACCATCCTGGCTAATAAGGTGAAACCCCATCTCTACTAAAAATACAAAAAATTAGCCAGGTGTGGTGGCATGCACCTGTACTCCTAGCTACTCGGGAGGCTGAGGCGGGAGAATTGCTTGAACCCGGGAGGCAGAGGTTGCAGTGAGCCGAGATTGTGCCACTGCACTCCAGCATGGGTGACAGAGTGAGACTCCATCTCAAAAGAAGAAGAAGGAGGAGGAGGAGGAGGAGGAGGAGGAAGAGGAGGGGGAGGAGAAGGAGGACGACCTCCAAAAAGTGCAGAATTATGTTAAATGACCAAACATAAGAATAATTGGTGTTCCAGAGAAAGAAGACAATTCTAAAAGCTTGGAAAACATATTTGCGGGAATAATCCAGGAAAACTTCTCCAGCCTTGCTAGAGACCTAGATATCCAAATACAAGAAGCACAAAGAACACCTGGAATATTCACTGCAGAAGGATCTTTGCCTAGGCAGATTGTCAGGTTATCTAAAGTTAAGACAAGGGAAAGAATCTTAAGAGCTGTGAGACAGAAGCACCAGGTAACCTATAAAGGAAACCTATCAGGTTAACAGCAGATGTCTCAACAGAAACCCTACAAGCTGGAAGGGATTGGGGCCCTATCTTCAACCTCCTCAGACAAAACAATTATCAGCCAAGAATTTTGTATCCAGCCAAACCAAGCATAATATATGAAGGAAGAACAGTCTTTTTCAGACAAACAAATGCTGAGAGAATTTACCACTACCAAGCCACCACTACAAGAACTGCTAAAAGGGGCTCCAAATCTTGAAACAAATCCTGGAGACACATCAAAACAGAACCTCTTTAAAACATAAATTGCACAAGACCTATAAAACAAAAATACAAGTTAAAAAGCAAAAGCAGTAAAGTACACAGTACACAGGCAACAAAGAGTACGATGAATGCAACAGTACCTCACATTTCAATGCTAACATTGAATGTAAATGGCCTAAATGCTCCACTTAAAAGATATAGAACTGCAGAATGGATAAGAACTCACCAGCCAACCATCTGCTGCCTTCAGGATACTCACCTAACACATAAGGATGCACATAAACTTAAAGTAAAGAGGTAGAAAAAGCATATCATGAAAATGGACAGCAAAAGTGAGCCGGGGTAGCTATTCTTACATCAGATAAAACAAACTTTAAAGCAACAGCAGTTAAAAGAGACAAAGAGGGACATTATATAATGGTAAAAGGCCTTGTCCGACAGGAAAATATCACAATTCTAAACATATATGCACCTAACACTGGAGCTCCCAAATTTATAAAACAATTACTAATAGACCTAAGAAACGAGATAGGCAGCAACACAGTAATACTGGGGGACTTCAGTACTCCATTGACAGGACTAGACAGGTCATCAAGACAGAAAGTCAACAAAGAAAAAATGGATTTAAACTATACCTTGGAACAAATGGACTTAACAGATATATACAGAACATTTCATCCAGCAACCACAGAATACACATTCTATTCAACAGCGCATGGAACTTTCTCCAATTTAGGCCATAAAATGAGCATCAATAAATTTAAGAAAATTGAAATTATATAAAGCACTCTCTCAGACCACAGTGGAATAAACCTGGAAATCAACTCAAAAAGTCACCTTCAAAACCATGCAAATACATGGAAATTAAATAACCCACTCCTGAATGAGCATTGGGGTTAAAAATAGAATCAAGATGCAAATTTAAAAATTGTTTGAACTGAATGACAATAATGACACAATCTATCAAAACCTCTGGGATACAGCAAACGTATCCCAGAGGAAAGTTCATAGCCCTAAGAGGAAAAGTTCATAGCCCTAAGAGGAAAGTTCATAGCCCTGAACACCTACATCAAAAAGACTGAAAGAGTACAAACTGACACTCGAAGGTCACATCTCAACGAACTAGAGAAACAAGAACAAACCAACCCGAAACCCAGCAGAAGAAAGGAAATAACCAAGATCAGAGCAGAACTAAATGAAATTGAAACACACACACACACATTCACAAAATACAAAAGATAAATGATTTTTTTAAAAAGCTGGTTCTTTGAAAAGATAAAATTCATAGATCATTGGCAAGATTAACCAAGAAAAGAAGAGAGAAAATCCAAATAACCTAAGAAATGAAACGGGAGATACTACAACTGACACACTGAAATGCAAACTATCATTCAAGGCTACTATGAACACCTTTACACACATAAACTAGAAAAACCCGGAGAGATGGATAAATTCCTGGAAAAATACAACCCTCATAGCTTACATCAGGAAGAATTTGATACCCTGAACAGACCAATAACAAGCAGCAAGATTGAAGTGGTAATTTAAAAATTACCAACAAAGAAAAAGTTCAGGAGCAAATGGATTCACAGCAGAATTCTACGAGACATTCTAAGAATTGTTACCAATCCTTTTGACACTATTCCACAAGATAGAGAAAGAAGGAACCCTCCCTAATTCATTCTGTGAAGCCACCATCACCTTAATACCAAAACCAGGAAAGGACATAACCAAAAGAGAAAACTATAGACCAATATCTTTGATGAACATAGACACTAAAATCCTTAACAAAATACTTAGCTACCTGAATCCAATAACATATCAAAAAGATAATCCACCATGATCAAGTGGGTTTCATACCAAGGATGCAGGGATGGTTTAACATATGCAAGTCAGTAATGTGATACACCACATAAATAGAATTAAAAACCAAAATCATGTGATCATTTCAATAGATTCAGAAAAAGCATTCGACAAAATCCAGCATCCCTTGATGATTAAAACTCCCAGCAAAATCGGCCTACAAGGAGCATTCCTTAATGTAATAAAAGCCATCTATAACAAACCCACAGCCAACATGATACTGAATGAGGAAAAGTGAAAAGCATTTGCTCTGAGAACTGGAATGACACAAAGATGCCAACTCTCACCACTTCTCTTCAACAGTGTATTGGAAGTCCTAGCCAGAGCAATCAGACAAGAGAAAGAAATAAAGCGCATCCAAATCAATAAAGAGGAAGTCAAACTGTCACTGTTTCCTGACAATATGATAGTTTACCTTGAAAACCCTAAGGACTCCTCCAGAAAGCTCCTAGAAATGATAAAAGAATTCAGCAAAGTCTCCGGATACAAGATTAATGTACACAAATCAGTAGCTCTTCTATATACCAACAGCAACCAAGCAGAGAATCAAATCAAGAACTCAACCCCTTTTACAATAGCTGCAAAAATTAAAATATTTAGGAATATACCTAAACAAAAAGTCAAAAGACCTGTACAAGGAAAACTAAAACACTGCTGAAGGAAATCATAGACAACAGAAACAAATGGAAACACATCCCATGCTCATGGATGAGTAGAATCAATATTGTGAAAATGTTCATACTGCCAAAAGCAGTCTACAAATTCAATGCAATCCCTATCAAAATACCACCATCATTGTTCACAGAATTAGAGAAAACAATTCTAAAATTTATATGTAACAATAAAAGAGCCCACATAGCCAAAGCAAAGCTAAGCAAAAAGAACAAATCTGGAGGCATCACACTACCTGATTTCAAACTATAATATAAGGCCATAGTCACCAAAACAGTATGGTACTGGTACAAAAATAAGCATATAGACCAATGGATCAGCATAGAAAACCCAGAAATAAACCCAAATACTCACAGCCAACTGATCTTCAACAAAGCAAACAGAAACATAAAGTGGAGAAAGGACACCCTTTTCTTTCTTTCTTTTTTTTTTTTTATTATACTTTAAGTTCTAGGGTACATGTGCACAATGTGCAGGTTTGTTATATATGTATACATGTGCCATGGTGGTGTGCTGCACCCATTAACTCATCATTTACATTAGGTATATCTCCTAATGCTATCCCTCCCCCCTTCCCCCTCCTCACAATAGGCCCTGGTGTGTGATGTTCCCCTTCCTGAAAAGGACACCCTTTTCAACAAATCATGCTAGGATAATTGGCTAGCTGCTTGTAGGAGAATGAAACTGGGTCCTCATCTCTAATCTTATACAAAAATCAACTCAAGATGGATTAAGGACTTAAATCTAAGACCTGAAACTACAAAAATTCTAGAAAATAACATTGGAAAAACCCTTCTAGACATTGGCTTAGGCAACGATTTCATGACCAAGAACCCAAAAGCAAATGCATTAAAAACAAAGATAAATTGCTGGGACCTAATTAAACTAAAGAGTTTTTGCATTTAAGTCTCTACCATAAAAACCCTAGAGGAAAACCTAGGTAGTACCATTCAGGACATAGGCATGGGCAAAGACTTCATGTCTAAAACACCAAAAGCAACAGCAGCAAAAGCCAAAATTGACAAATGGGATCTCATTAAACTAAAGAGCTTCTGCACAGCAAAAGAAACTACCATCAGAGTGAACAGGCAACCTACAGAATGGGAGAAAATTTTTGCAATCTACTCATCTGACAAAGGGCTAATATCCAGAACCTACAAAGAACTCAAACAAATTGACAAGAAAAAAACAAACAACCCCATCAAAAAGTGGGCAAAGGATATGAACAGACATTTCTCAAAAGAAGACATTCATACAGCCAACAGACACATGAAAAAATGCTCATCATCACTGGCCATCAGAGAAATGCAAATCAAAACCACAATGAGATACCATCTCACACCAGTTAGAATGGTGATCATTAAAAAGTCAGGAAACAACAGGTGCTGGAGAGGATGTGGAGAAATAGGAACACTTTTACACTGTTGGTGGGATTGTAAACTAGTTCAACCATTATGGAAACAGTATGGCGATTCCTCAAGGATCTAGAACTAGAAGTACCATATGACCCAGCCATCCCATTACTGGGTATATACCCAAAGGATTATAAATCATGCTGCTATAAAGACACATGCACGCGTATGTTTATTGCGGCACTATTCACAATAGCAAAGACTTGGAATCAACCCAAATGTCCATCAGTGACAGACTGGATTAAGAAAATGTGGCACATATACACCATGGAATACTATGCAGCCATCAAAAAGGATGAGTTTGTGTCCTTTGTAGGGACATGGATGCAGCTGGAAACCATCATTCTTAGCAAACTATCACAAGAACAGAAAACCAAACACCGCATGTTCTCACTCATAGGTGGGAACTGAACAATGAGATCACTTGGACTTGGGAAGGGGAACATCACACACCAGGGTCTATCATGGGGAGGGGGGAGGGAGGAGGGATTTCATTGGGAGTTATACCTGATGTAAATGACGAGTTGATGGGTGCTGACGAGTTGATGAGTGCAGCACACCAACATGGCACAAGTATACATATGTAACAAACCTGCACGTTATGCACATGTACCCTAGAACTTAAAGTATAATAATAATAATAAGTAAATTAAAACAAAAAAAGAGTTTTTGCATGGCAAAAAGAACAGTCAGCAGAGTAAACGGACAATCCACAGAGTGGGAGAATATCTCCACAATCTATACATCTGACAAAGGACTAATATCCAGAATCTACAATGAACTCAAACAAATCAGTGAGAAAAAAACAATCCCATCAAAAAGTGGGCTAAGGACAAGAATAGACAATTCTCAAAAGAAGATCTACAAATGGCCAGCAAACATATGAAAAAATTCTCAACATCACTAATGATCAGGGAAATGCAGATCAAAACCACAATGAGATACCACCTCACTCCTGCAACAATGGCCATAATAAAAAAATAAAAAATCAGTAAATGTTGATGTGGATGTGATGAACAGGTAGCACTTCTACACTGCTGGTGGAATGTAAACTAGTACGGCCACTTTAGAAAACAGTGTAGAGATTCCTTAAAGAGCTAAAAGTAGAACTACCATTTGATCCAGCAATCCCACTACTGGATATCTACCCAGTGGAAAATAGTCATTATTCGAAAAAGACAGTTGCACATGCATGTTTATAGCAGCACAATTCACAATTGCAAAATCATGGAACCAATCCAAATGCCCATCAATCAAAGAGTGGATAAAGAAACTGTGGTATATATACAAAGGACTACTATGCAGCCATAAAACAATGAATTAATGGTATTTGCAGGACCTGGATGAGATTGGAGACTATTATTCAAAGTGAAGTGACTTGGGAATGGAAAAGCAAACATCTTATGTTCTCACTGATTATTTTTTTCTGATAGTTCTATACTTATTGAGCACTTTTTATATTCCAGAAACTCATATATTATCTCATCAGTTCCTCACAATAGCTCTCTGTGGTAGATACCATTATCACCCTCATTTTATAAATGTAGAAACAAAGCTAAGAGAGATAGATAATGTGTCTTAGGCCATATAACTCATATATTTTAGAGCTGAGATGCAAGCTGAGGTCTGTCTGATACATAGACCTAATTCTTTTTTCTGGACTACATTAGCTCTTCTAATGACTCCACCGTGGTCAAGTCCAGCTTGTCATCTTCCAGGTACTGAAATGTGAGCTTCCTGAATGTTAGACTTACTATTCCAGACAGCTACCCCAATGGCTCCTATCAGTATGACTAAAACTGCTTGCTCAGTCTTACCCTCTGTTCTAATAACTTCAAAACTCTCCAAACTTATTTTAATTTCTGCTGAGATTTATTTTATTTCTCAAATTCTTCCTGTATCTTATTTCCCTATAAAGTAGATGTCAAGAATTTTCACAACTTACAGAATTTTGCTACTAACATATATCCTGTTGGCTTCTGGAATTGTAACTCTTCACTTTGTCTATTCCAGCTTTTCTGGCTTTCTGTGCAAATTGCCAGCATGATTTTATCTGAGAACTGTGTAACTGGCCACATATCAACCATTTCCTCTTCATTTTTACACTCTGCTTCTCCTAAGCATGATATCAGTGTCCATAAGGAGGCATCGCAGACCACATATAAGGGTAGTCTTTCATTGCTCCACTATCACTTCAATTTCTTTCCTTACCCACCCACTGCTATGTGTTATCTTCTTCAATTTCATCAGTATATCTGGCATTTTATTTCTCTGCAAGATTTTGAGAAGAAAATCATATACCAAAGCTTGATCTAGACACATTTCACAGCCTTTGACATTTAAAGAATTTTAGAGAAATCCTAGTACTTGTCAATCAAGTAATGCCTATCCCTTTATTGCTGGTTGTCGCACCTTGTGGAGTATGCAGTTTGCCAGCCTCAGCAGTTTCTGCAGTTAGATTCCATGTGTTACCCTTGATGACCATTTCTCTTTTCTTTCAGGTGCCACTGAAAACAGCAGCCTTCAGAGCTTTGCTGAAGGTGCTGTCATCCAGAGTCTGTTGAACTCAACACTGAGGCTAGCAGGGCTGGGAGCACTTCTCTTCTTCAACAACTGCATCTTGATGCTCACTTCTGGAGCTGTCACGTCAGCTCCTCTATCAGCTGTATCTTTTTCCTTTGATTGGTACCTGAACATAAGACCATGGCCTCTCTTTTTTCTCTGTTCCTAAAACAATTCTAGAAAGAGTACCACAATCCAAATTTCTTCTTTTGTACTGTCAGTCTGTTCAATTTGACTACAAAGGACACCACTAACAAACATTCTCTCTTACCCATTCTCAGATGTTAGTAAGTCCTGACTTAATTTTGCCTTAGCATGATGTTTTTCACTTATCTCCTTGACTGTCTGTTTATACTTTCCTTTTATTCATTCTTTGATTTTTGCTACTTTGCTTTTTTTCTTTTTCTCTCTGTTCTCCATTAAACATATCTGTTTTTGGGAATTTGTGTTTGGCTTTATGAAGCCGTTGGTTTAGCTCTGTCCCTAAAGAGGTTTCCTTGAAGCCTTTCTTAAAGGCTTTTTTCAGGTCACTCTTGTCACATCCCAAGAGTGGCACAGACCTTCTGAGAATTTATTCTGTGTCAATAGTAACACCCATGCATGAAAAAGTATGTAAGTATGTATGTACAAGGTTTTCAGCACAATACCATTTACATTGTAAAAAAATAGGCACAACAAAAATTTCTATCAATAAGAGATTGAATAAATTTTAGTACAGCCTTATAATGGAACAGTAAAGTGCATTTAAAATGGTAATGTAAAGTTGCATTTACTGACATCAAAAGATTCTAAAATGTTTATTGAGTGAAAAAGCAGGTTAAAAAGTATAAATACACTAATACATATATAAAATTATGTGTGTGTGTGTGTGTGTATGTATATATATATATATATAACTTGTTCAACAGCACTGACTCTAGAGTCAAGCAAATTTGAGTATGACTCTTAGCTCCACTATTTACTAACTGTCTGACTTCAGGCAATTTATTAACTTCTCTGTGTATTGCCATGCACATTTGTATAATGGGGATAATAGTGCCTACCTCATGCAATTTTAATGAGGATTAAATTATGTAATTCATGTTAAGTGTTCAGGAGAATGACTGCCCATTATATCTAATATTTGAAACTTAAATAAAAATGTATGTGTAAGTGCTTCAAAGAGTGAAAAGTGACTGAGAGGTAATTGATAAATACTGAAACGTATTATGGCCTCATACTGATACTATTGAGTATGAGAGAAAGATCTCTTAACTCTGAGATGTTTCATACACAAGACATGTCACATAAAGGGGAGGGTTCCCCCTATAAGGAGAGGGTAGAGCAAAGGGCATTGATGCCAATGGGAACTTACAAGAGTGTCCCCGAAACTCCCAGTGCTATAGCATATCTAGCCTTTGACAAAAAATGTGGTTTAAGTAGTTTCTTCTGGGCTGTTTCCCATAATCTCCCCCCTGCCCTCCTCTTTGGCAGTATCAAATCAGAAACCCAGGGCCTTCAGTATCATCATAGGACAAAGTAAGTAATGGTGGGGATTCCATAAATCCATGAATTTATGGTCAATTGATTCCTGATAAAGATGCCAGGAATACACAATAGGGAAAGGATGATCTCTTCAATAAGTAGTGCTGGGAAAACTGGATATTCACATGCAGAAGAGTAAAATTATACTCTTATCTCTCACCATATACAAAAATCAACTAAAAATGGATTAAAGATTTCAATGTAAGACGTGAAATTGTTAAACTACTAGAAGAAAACATAAAAAGGTGCATAACATTATCTGGGTGATGATATTTTGGATATGAACCCCAAAATATAGGCAACAAAAGTGAAAAAGACAAATGGGATTACATCAACCCAAAAAGCTTCTGCACAACAAAGGAAATAAGAGTGATAGATACCCAATATTTGCAAATCATAAATCTAATAAGAGACTAATATCCATAATACATAAGGAAGTCAACTCAACAACAATAAAAACACCAAATAACCTCATTTAAAAGTGGGCAAAGGATGGCTAGGTGTGGTGGCTCATGCCTATAATCCCAGCACTTTGGGAGGCTGAGGTGGACGGATCACAAGGTCAGGAGATCGAGACCAGCCTGACCAATTTGGTGAAACTCCATCTCTACTAAAAATACAAAAATTATCTGGGCATGGTGGCACGCACCTGTATTCCCAGCTACTCAGGAGGCTGAGGCAGGAGAATCGCTTGAACTTGGGAGGCAGAGGTTGCAGTGAGCCAAGATTGCATCATTGCATTCCAGCCTGGGCAACAGAGCGAGACTTGGTCTCAAAGAAAAAAAAAAAAGTGGGCAAAGGACCTGAATAGACATTTCTCAAAAGAAAGGATACAAATAGCAAATGGGTAAATTTAAAAATGCTCAACAATTCTAATAATCTGGGAAATAAATGCAAATTAAAACCACAATGAAGCAATCAGGGGAGAAGATGGAGCAAGATGGCCAACCAGAAGCCTCTAGTGGTCATTTCCCCTGTAGGAACACCAAATTGAACAACTATCCACACAAGAAACACTTTCATAAGAACAAAAACATCAGGTGAGTGAGCACAGTACTTGATTTTAACATCACATCAAGTAAAGAGGCACGGAAGAGGGTAGGAAAAACAGTTTGAATTGCTGACACCACCCTTCCCATATCCTCCAGCAGTGGCTATGTGGCACTGACAGCGAATCTGTGTGCTTGAGAAAGGGAGAGCACAGCGATTGTGGGACTTTATGTTGGACCTCAGTGTTGCTCTATCACAGCAGACAGCAATACGGAGAAGAATTCAGCCAGTACCAATGAAGAGAGCATTTAGTCCAGCCCTAGCCAGAGGGGAATCACCCATCCCAGCAACTGGAATTTGAGTTCTGGCTAGCCCCACCACTGAGGCCTAAAGTACTCTGGGGTCCTAAATAAACTTGAAAGGCAGTCTAGGCTACAAGGACTGCAATTCTTGAGCAAGTTCTTGTGCTGTGCTGGGCTTGGAGTCAGTGGACTTGGGGTGCACATGACACAGTGAGACACCTGCCAGGGTGGCCAAGGGAGTGCTTGCATCACTACTCCCCCAATCCCAGGCAGTGAAGCTCCTAGCTCTAGGAGGGAATCCTTCTTTTGGCTTGAGGAGAGGAGAGGGAAGAGTAAAGAGTATGTTGTCTTATAACTTGGATATCAACTCAGCCATAGTAGAATAGGGTACCAGGCAGAGTTCTTAGGCCCCCATTCCAGGCCCTAGCTCCTGGATGACATTGATAGACACACCCTGGGCCAGAAGGAAACTCATTTCCTTGAAGAGAAGGACCCAGTCCTGACAGGATTAATCATTTACTGACCAAACAGTCCTTATGCCTTGAGTAAACATCAGCGGTACCCAGGAAATACTTGCCATGGACTTCAGGCCTTGGGTGAAACCCAGGGCCTTGCTCACTTCAGATGTGACCCAGTGCATTCCCAGATATGGTGGGCATGGGGAGAAACTCTTTCTACTTGAGAAAATGAGAGGGAAGAGTAAAAGAGACTTTGTCTCACAACTTAGGTACCAGCTTGGCCACAGAGGCTTAGAGCACCAAGCAGGCTGTTGTGGTCCCTGATTCCAGGCCTTGACACTTGGATTCCATTTCTGGAACTTCCCTGGGCCAGAGGAAGGCCTGCTGCCCTGAATGTAGAGACCCAGGTCTGGCAGCATCCACTACAAGCTTACTGAAATTTCAGCCCTTGGGCTTTGGGCAAGACTCAGTGCTGTGCTGGCTTCAAGTCTGACCCAGTGCAGTCCCAGTTGTGGTGGCCACAGGGGTGCTTTAGTCCTCTCTTCCCAGCTACAGGCAGCTCAGCATGGAGTGAGGAGCTCCATTTTTTGAGGGAAAGTAAGGGAAAGGAGCAAGGGTCTCTGCCTGGTAATCCAGGGAATTCTTCTAGGTCTTACTTAAGACCACCAAGGTGGTACCTCTGAGTCTGCAAGAGTAACCACATTAACGGGCTTGGTGTGCTCCCTAATGCAGATATGGCTGCAGTGACCAAAGATTTAGGTCATAACACTCAATTCCTTTTGAATACTTGGAAAGTCTTCCCAAGAAGAATGGGTACAAACAAGCCCAGACTGCAAGGACTACAATAAGTATACATCTCTTTAATGCCCAGACATTGATGAACATCCACAAGTATTGCAATCATCCAGGAGAACATGACCTTGCCAAACAAACTAAATTAGGCACCAGTGACCAATCATGCAGTGACAGAAATATGTGACATTTCAGAAAGATAATTCAGAATAGCTGCATTGCTCAACAAAATGCAGGGTAACACAGAGAAGAAATTCAGAATTCTATCAGATAAATTTAACAAAGTGATTGAAATAATTAGAAAGAATCAAGCAGAAATTCTGAAGATGAAAAATTTAATTGACATACTGAAGATGCATCAGAGTTTTTAAATAGCAGTTGATCAAGCAGAAGAAAAAATTAGCTTGAAGACAGACTAGTTGAAAATACACAGAGGAGACAAAAGAAAGAAGAAAGAAAGAAGTATGTCTACAAGATGTACAGAATGGACTCAAAAAGGCAAATTTAAGAGTTATGGGACTTAAAGAGGGGGTAGAAAAATGGATAAGGTTAGAAAGTTGTTTGAAGGGATAATATCAGAGAACTTCCCAAGTCTAGAAAAATATGTCAGTATGTAAGTACAAGATGGTTATAGAACACCACGCAGATTTAACCCAAAGAAGACTACCTGAAACTCCCACAAATCAAGGATAAAGGATCCTAAAAGCAGTAAGAGAAAAGAAACAAATAACATACAAAGGAGCTCCATTACATCTGACAGCAGACTTCTCAGTGGAAAACTTACAGGCCAGGAAAGAGTGACATGACATATTTAAAGTGCTCAAGGAAAAAAAAATTATCCTAGAATAGTATATTCAGTGATGATATCCTTCAAACATGAAGGAGAAGTAAAGACATTTCCACACAAACAAAAACTGAGGGATTTAATCAACACCAAAACTATCCTACAAGAAATACTAAAGGGAACTTTTCAATCTGAAAGAAGAGGACATTAACAAGCAATAGGAAATCATCTAAAGGTACAAAACTCACTGGTAATAGTAAGCACACATACAAACAAAGACTATTATAATGTTGTAAGTGTGGTGTGTAAACTACTCATGTCTTGAGTAGAAAGAATAAATAGTTAACATATAAAAATAATAAATACAACTTTTCAAGACATAGAGAGTATAATAAGACATAAAGAGAAACAACAAAAGGTTAAGAAGCATTGGGGGGATGGACTGAAAGTACAGAGTTTTTATTACTTTTTGTTTGTTAGTTTGCTTTCACAATACACACTAGGTTTCATCAGTTTAAAACAAAGATGTTATTTGCAAGCCTCATGGTAATCTTGCATCAAAAAATCCAACAGATTTACAAAAAATGAAAAGCAAGAAACGAAATCATATCACCAGAAAAAGTCACCTTCACAAAAAGGAAAATGGGAAGGTAAAAAGGAAAAAAGAGAAGACTACAAAAACAAAAAATAACAAAATGGGAGGAGTAAGTCCTTACTTATCAATAATGTTGAATATAAATGGACTAAACTCTTCAATCAAAAGACATAGTGTGGCTGAATGGATGAAAAAACAAGACCCAGTGGTCTGTTGCCTACAAGAAACACACTTCACCAATAAAGACACATACTGGGCCGGGCGCGGTGGCTCATGCTGTAATCCCAGCACTTTGGGAGGCTGAGGCGGGTGGATCACGAGGTCAGAAGATCAAGACCATCCTGGCTAACACGGTGAAACCCCATCTCTACTAAAAATACAAAAGAAAAAATTAGCCAGGTGTGGTGGTGGGCGCCTGTAGTCCCAGCTACTCGGGAGGCTGAGATAGGAGAATGGCATGAACCCAGGAGGCGGAGCCTGCAGTGAGCCAAGATTGCACCCCTGCACTCCAACCTAGGTGACAGAGCAAGACTCCATCTCAAAAAAAAAAAAAGACACGTTGACTGAAAATAAAGAGTAGAAAAAGATATTTCATGCAAATGGAAAATTAAAAAGCAATATTTGTATGAGACAAAATAGATTTCAAGACAAAAAACTATGAAAAGAAACAAGGAAAGTCATTATACAGTGATAAAGGGATCGCTTCAGCAGGAGGTA